TCGCGAGTCCCCCTACCTGCTGCTATACGTCATGACCACTGCCATTTCTCTTACTATTTCAATTATAATCGATCTAATTTGACTTTTATTGAATATGTAAGCGGTCTAGATCTAGTCTTCCATCATCCATTATAACTGATTTTGTACAATCTGTTTCAGGATCTTCCAAAAGGCAAATGGCCAACTGTTGATGCTTCGTATTATGGCGGGGGAGGGGTGGGTGGTATTGCTCCTGTCAGGGTAAGTTATGAATCTCGTGTTCTGATTTGTTGGGAGCGTGTGCTTTATGAGAGCACACAGCACGCCGCACATGCACTTTCACTTGCACCAACCATTTTCACTCCCATTCAAAATAACGGTTGTAGTAATTTGTATTTTATAAAGGAAAAAAATTGCTTGCTGTGCTTCTACAGCACTTGGATATTGGCATAACATGCAAGAAGTGTTGGGAAGCACTCCGCTACGTTTTGTGATCATCCTAACACTTCTCGCACGTTTATAGATTCACACAGCAAATATGCACATATTCTATTTCTTCAGTCATGTAACATACCTGCTGTACTGGAGAGCCTGAAAAAAGGATTTTTCTATGACCTTTTTTTGTTATTCAATACCCCCATTTTACAGCTCTGTTCAGTAACCACGAATTATAGTTCCAAGCCGAGGCTGGAATTTCCGCTATGACTATGAAACTATCATTCGTGGTCACTGAACGAAACTATAAAAAGGATTATTTAACATTATATATCACATTAATATTATATTTAATATAGTACTTTTTTAATGCTTTTGTTTGTGCATGAAGTCCAAGAATGTATTCTTAAAGTGTTCGGTTTGGATATTTGACATGCGGTTGCTGTTGTAATTGTCATTGTAGGTTGATTGGGGGGACAAAGGCTCAACAGAAGCAGGATCAAAACTAGCCAAAGCCAAGGTACGAATATATCATGACACAACTATTATATACTTGCTCAATCGGGAGGATTTTGGACTGAATACAGGACTCTCTCTACCCCCCCCCCCCTGTTTATTTTCCACCCCGTTCAGCCCCCCCTTTCCCCCACAGAAATGGTCCACAAACAGGTTAACCTGTGTGCTAACCCATTTGAGACCACATGTCACTCTCTTGAGAATAAGATTCTTTGTTTGAATATTCAAGTATCAATATTCAAGTGTCTTCTCGTGTGCAACCGTTAAACAAAGAAATAATGACACGTGGATTGAAATGGGAAACAGTGGATTTGGTCTATTGATTGTTTTATCCAAGAATTTAGTTTTACCACAGATTTGAAGTAAATATTTTTATGGATTTAAAATATACATAATTCCTTGATATAACAAAAGTTTTCAATAATAAGTCCTCCCCCACCCCCTCCCCCTGGATCCGAACTTGATAACTAATACATGCTGTACTACTAGACTTGAACGCATATTAATATCCTGACTGCTTTTTCAGAATGCCAAAACAAAACAAGCTGAAGACGAAGAAAAACTGACAGGGGGAGGGTCAGGTTCACGGGCTGGTGCAGGAGGAAGATCGCCTGGCTGCCTGGCTCTTGCTAGGGTATGTACGTGTCTAGTGTATAGTGTATTGAGTAGTGAGACAGCTGTAGGTGAGGGACGGGAGGGTCGAGGATCTTTGCGGAATCGTAAAGATCATAGAGATTCTTTTTACTTGGCTTGTGCTTACGCTTATGACAAACAGTTTTCACTTGGAGTAGAGAGTTTTTAAAAAGCATGAAAAAATTCTTCATGATTAGTGAAAAAGAATCGCAAAAATCTCCAAGTGCTAGAGAGATAAAAGAATATTAAAAGAATATAGGTCTTTGGTCAGGAAGTTTGAATAAGGTAAAGAGAAATGCATGGAAGCGATGAAAACGTGATCATGGCCACTTGCGGAAAGAAAAAGCGTGATGCTAATCTCTCAAATGTCGCGCATGAACTCAGTGCTTCCGACTTTGTTGTGTGTGGTGTGGGGGTGGGAAAAGTTGTCTGTAGAGTCTTTACAGGCTGTTTGAATATCTTTCTTTTCTGTTGAAGGCCAAGATGGCTGGATGTATTGCAGCCATGGCTGGATGTAAAGCTGCAATGTCACGAGGATACCACCGATTAGCCTCCTATAGACCTCGTCCTGGTGGAAATGTATGTATTCACGTGAATAGCGCGATTACACGGAGAAATTTTCTCTGCAACTTGTTGCTTTGCTAGTACCCTGCGAGCAGAGACTCCTTATAACTCCTTATGCTCGCAGGGTACGCTGCTAGACAAGTTGCATGGAGCATTGCAGCGTGTAACCTTCAGCGCAATTTGAAAAAAATTTTGCGAGACAAGTTGCAGCAATCCGTTGCGAAAAGTAGAATTTGTTTCTATTTTGGCAACGATTGAGTCTTCGTTGCACCGTGTAAACACTCTTGCAACTCGCCTCTCACTAATGGGTCTCGGGTTACTCGATTCAGCATCTTATGTGAGTAGAGTTTGTTAGGTCTTCGTTCTTGATTCGAGGATTTTTCTCAGGTTTTTCTCCCTCCACGAAAGCTAGCAGGAAGCTTTAGGAGGTTGCTTTAGAGCTCGATATTTCTATCAATCCTTTCTGTTTGCACACTATACGTCCACTCTCTTCTAGTTCACTTTATTTGTGAAGTCCATATTATTACGAACATTTATAAGATTTGTATATGATTTTCTGTTTTTTCCTCCAGATTTTGTATTCTTCACCTGATGCGCATGCCTAACGACAATCACTCTTGTTCTCATGGAAACCAAGAAAAAGATTCACTAATTCTAACCAAAAAAGTCGTATCTTTTCAACTTTGCCAATATTTCCTGTGGTTTTAATGTCAACAAAATGGTTAGCCCAAGTAACCGCGAACTCCTAACTATTAAGATACTATTGCGCCTGTTTCCGGTTAATAATTGTTAGGTAGCTATATTTGGTCATGGTTTCGCGCCAAAAGTGAGTGAAGCGAGAGTGTATGTCGATTTGCGGTTTGAGTTTTTGGCGCAGAAACGGCGCATCAATTCAAAATGTTTCAACTTAAGCAGGTTTTCCGAAAGCTATTATGGTTTCAGGAAAAACGGGGCTGTGAACGCTTAAACGAAAGGAATACTCACGAGAAAAACAAATTGATTTTCGCTATCGAAGATTATTTTTGGACAAATGCACGCATGGGTTTGCAGCAAAAGCCAAAATCGAATTTCAAAGCAATGTATAAAAATAACAAAACATATCTCTGTTGAAAGTTAACGGAGATAAATTTTTCCCTTCTGTAAAGCCGGGTGCATAACAACCCCTGATGGCAGGTAACATGCGCTAAAGATAGCAGGGGAGAGGGGGAGGGGAGGGAAGGGGAGGCTTGTGTAATGGCTCTACCTTAAAAAACAAAATGGCGCACCTGACTTTTTGATAGTCGTCAGCACGTACAAATATGATATAAAAGAAACCTATTTCGCTTCAACTTTAGACATTTTAAGTTTCCATAAGTTATTTTAAGGTATTTTAGAGTTAAATTATTTGTAGTTTAAGGGTGAACAAATATAGAATAGAACCGCTCACTTTTTGATGATCATCAGCACGTACAAATATGTTATAAAGGAAACTCATATATCGCTTCAACTTAAGACATTTTAAGTTTCCATAAGTTCAGATTTTAAGGTATTTTAGAGTTAAATTATTTTTAGTTTAAGGGTGAGCAAATAGAAGGGGTTTTAATAACATATTAGTAATGTAGATAAAGCGATACGCATACTGTAATTAAACTAGAGTTTAACTTTTATATCTGTCATTTTATTTCCCATCCATTTGTTCTTTTTTAGCACTTTCCATCCATTCATTTCAGTCTCCATTCACCCTTATTCCAAAGGCTCTAATAGACCCCTCGTAGCACGTCGAAATGCAGCTCAAACTGGAGGACATAACAATAGGTTTCCAGTTCTCAGGAGATTGAAATTCTTTAGCTTTGTCCTCCAGATTGATCTGCTTCGTGACGACACATGTAAGGGGTCTATTCGGGCGACAAAAATGTCCAACATGTGTCTGTGTTGCGCCTTAAACTCGTATACACCTATTTCAAAAAACGTCGGTCTGAGATCTGAAAAGGGCGGCTTGAGGCTAAACAGAATATTTGTGTTTTTATCAGTGTTTCCTGGTTAAAATGCGAAAAATAACATTTCTAACTCCAAGATTATGCCTCATATTCCAATCTAAAAGAAAAATAACTTTGTTCGGCTGTGATTATAGAATTTTTTTTCACGGGCCATGTAAAATACCTGGAGTATGCTCCGTTACCAAAAGACCTTGTTTTCCTGACAGTTCCGCGCAACAAGAATAAATGCATAAAGGCTGTGTTAACAAATTGCCGCAAATTAAAGTGCAAGAAAAGAGACATTCTTATTGCTTGAATGCCGCGAATTTAACGCTGCTTGGATGATTACGACCTTCTATTCACACTAATTTTTAGCTAGTTATCTTTTCTATTCAAGTAGTGAAGGTCGTAAGCCTTTTGTTTTAGGCATTGTAGCATGACGCCTCACAATGAACGAGTAAAAAGCTCACAATACGCGAGGGAATGGTCATGTGCTCTGAGATGTAAAAACTTTTAGTTTCGACCAACTTCAGCATTTTGATGTTATAAGTGTTGGAAAAGCACTGAAAATTTTTCTACCTTGTCGAACAGCAAGCTAGTTTATTATATTGGCACTACATAAAGTCGTGGAAGCTAGTTCGGACGATTGACTACGTTCTAAAGCCGTAAGCTCAAGCAGTTGTGGTTCTGGGAGTTTTGAAGAGATGTCCGGTCGCCTCGACGTTTGCCTTACATGGTAAGAAACTACTAGATACACGAACGAACTCTTTGCTACAATTGATGCGGTTTTAGACAAGTGGCAGACATTGAAAATAACTTCAAAGTTTGGCACCAAATTTGAATATTTTAAGAAAGCAGCCTAGTCAGTTGTTTTACTTTCGCATAGATAATGACTGAATAGTTGTTTTGAACAATGCGCGCGGTTTTAATAAGCTGTTGTTAACTGTGATCAGATTGACTCGGATGTCGGTAGGGGGTGAGCCCTACATCCTTTGCAGCCTCTTTCCTTCCTTTCCTTTTCTTTCCTTTCCTTTCCTTCTTCAATTGATCTTAAATTGACTCCAGGGTACTCGATTACCCCCGCAAATGCGCCAACATCATAACTTAACTTGTATTTTACAACCACCACTCCCCACATATTTAAAAAAAAGTAATAATGAGAGGTTCTTACATAAAGCATTTCACAATATCTCGGAGGTATGTACGAATTGGTGCTGGCAACCCTATCCCCCCCTC